AAAAAGAGGTGGTGCGTTTAACTATAACAACAACTATCATGTTGCCAAACACATTTGTTAGGAAGAACACCCATGCTCTAAAAATTGCTATTTCTGCTATTTGGTGTAGCTATATATAGTAGCAGGCAACAATTTATTCCTTGGGCTAAGTACTTAAGTAAAGTGTTTTACATGACACTAAAACTGAATTGTTCATGAATCCATAAATGGTTGTATGGCAAATCAACATAATTGACTCTCTTATTCAGTTATTGTTTTTACCTGCTCTTCGATACTTGCAAATGCACCAGCCTACAGCAAATACGACAATGCAACCAAGTACAGGCCCCACAATATAATACCACTCCAGAGCCTGCCTGGCAATAAAAGCTGAGAAGGGAGCCTTTAGTATTACTATACAAAACTTCATTTTAACAGTTTTCTATCTTAGTATTGTTAATCTATTGGAAGAAACAGCGCCTTATGGTTAGTGCACTGGACATTGACCAAACAGTCCACGTTTAAGCCCTGACCAGGTTCATAACATTACACAAGCCCCTCTCAACCTGGTCTCGATTCTTCAAAAGCTGATCATGCTAACCCAGGAAGACCCTAAATGTGGAAGTGTCTGGATGTCCCAGGCACCATTATCCAGATATTTTCAAATCGTATGCAGTTAGTCCAGCTGTTACATATACTGATAAGGTACTTTGAAAGTGTTGTGCTTGTAACCCTCGGACGTACAAGCTAACTCATACTCCAACCGTGGTACAAGGGGGGTGAATGAAACCCCCCTCAGGGTTTTCGTTCTGTTTAGGCATAGCAAAATAAATTTACATTGATTAGATAGCCCTGAGCGTCCTCTACAAGATGATACCATTTTTATTCATCATGACGTCATTTGCCCCGCCATCTTGGACCCACCATCTTGGATTTTACTATTTTCTTAAAAAGTCAAGAAATAAAGGAAATTAACGCAAAATCAGGCCACCATACTTATGAAATGTACAAATTCATGAATTTATGCAATTAAATGAAGAAAATTGGAAAAAAAACTACAGAATTATCTCCAAAAAAGTTGATTTTTGGCCAGGCGTACATGAAGTTTGATGATTGCCAAGGCAACGTCAAATAATGGTCGCGCAATTGACATATCAAAATTTCCGCAGAGAATGAAATTTTCAGCGTCTTTGAGTAAATCGTCTTTTCAAAACTTTGAGAAAACCTTATGGGAGGCTGCAATCCACCCCCCTTGTACGTATGAGGGTTAATAGATAAAAGATAATGCAACACAGGGTAATTGCCAGCTGATTACATTTATATTATGGGCTTATACAATTACTATATGTGATGTTATAGTGTTGTAAACTTGTCTGCCATCATCCTAAAGTTTGCAATTTTCTAATTTTTATCAGTATTATTATTGAAAATTAAGGATGGAAAAACCTATCAGGGGTCCGATCGTTAATAAAGAAATGGTACTGTTAGTATTGTAACCAGCTGATTTTTTTTTTTTTTGCAGCAGTTAGTCGGCAATTAAGCCCTAAGAGTGCAAATGAAAGAATACTTGCCAGTTTTTTTTTGTTTTTTGTTTTGTTTTGTTTTTGTTTTTGTTTTGTTTTTGTTTTGTTTTTCACTACAAGTATTTCTAAGGACAAGATCAATAATAATCGTCCTTACCCTTGACATTGATCTTCACAGTAGAGCGAGCCACAATACCTGGTCTGTTACGTGCTTCACAGGAGTATTCACCTCTATCACCTTCCTCAACTTCCACAATAAAAAGTTGGCTCAATTTATCATCTACTCGTGTATCAATCTGTGCTCTTGGGATTAATTCATCATCATTTTTCTTCCATTTGATTGCCACAGTCGCTTTATTGATGCGGCAAGTTAATCTAAGCTCATCTCCTACTGTCAGTTTTGGATAAGGCTTTGGGCTTACTTCAGCTGTGGGTTTTTCTTTAAAGATAAACACATTCAAGCAATCAGTGAAAGAAACACTCAGTCAAATTATAATAATTCATGGGCATATTTGTTTCAAAGACTCTTTGGTGCTCTTAAATGTGGTGCTCTTCAGAATGTTGCATTTCAAAACTGTTTGGGTTTATATTTGGAAATGATGTTGTGTATAGTGCATGAGCACTTTAAGCATAGTAATATGAATTCTACAATTATTAAGTGAATATCAAAAATGCAGGAAAGACTTTGTAAAATGCAAATTATGAGAATAATTAGACATCACATCCTACATATGCGTAAGTTTACTGAGTTGGCACCAATGGGAACCATGATGAGTATGGATGTCATTAGTGTTTATATAAAGTTACGCCCTGCTACCTTGCACTGTCTAGGGCAATGAAAAACAGTTCAATATAGCCAGGGGGTCGAGATAGCCTAAAGTCACGTACAAATATAAGACTGAAATAGCATACTTACAGGAAAAGGCTTTGAAGTTGACATGATTTAAACAAGTTCAAGACAGCAAGGTTCAACTTCGTGTATTACACATATGCACTCACAAGTCCAGTTGGTATTGTAATAGCTCAGTTGATAGACCACCAAACTGACTCTTTAGAGGTCATAGGTTCAATTTCCGTTCGCGCCTGAATTTCTTCAGAAGGTATTTTTGCAACTGTTCAAGACACATAATTTTGTGCCCACAATTAATGATATTGTATGAGGTAGATTTTTTTTTCTGCTTACCAAAAACATGAAGATACGCAGAAGAGGTTGTTGTGTTAGCTTTGTTTTCTGCCGTACACTTGTAGATACCTTCCATACGTTTTGTAGTGTAAGGCAACTCCAGGAATGATCCTTCACTAAGACTGGCTTGACTGATGCCTGAAGGGAGGTACCCATCATTAAATTTCCAGGAGAATGTTGGCTTGGGAACACCTGTGGCTTTGCAGCTAAAGTTCTCTGGGTGGCCCTCGGGAACAGACTTGTTTCTTGGAGAAACATAAATCTGCGGAGAGACTTTCGATCAAACCAAGGCTGTTATTAGGGGCCATAACCCACAACACCTATTATGGCTGAGAGCGCTTGATTGCACGGCCCTTAATATGGTGGGTGAAATTACCCTGTTTCTGATAGAATTCACTCTCAAAGTAAGAAGTTTGTTACAGGTGTGAATTAAGAACATGGATTCAGGTCACTCAAAACTTAATGACAGCCCTACAAACGTACTCTTTTAAACTGATGGTCTCAGCTACTGCATTCAAGCGATTCAGTCATCAACCCTATTTTTCCTGTGCTTTTTTTAAGCCTGGGGAATTTTAGCACTAGAATCTTATAAAAAGTAATCCACAGTCTCACTAAGACATAGTTTTAAACTTAAATTTGAACGAAACATCCTTTGAAAACACTGTTGCCATAGAAGCATCAAATCACATGACCAAACTATTAACACACCTCAATTTTTTATGAAAATCAAAAAAGTTTGACCACGATAACTTCAGGTCATTGCACGGCTTTATATAAGATGATAATGCCTGCCACGCTTCAGCTCTTTATCTTTCTTCACTTCAGAAAAATTAGGTTCAGCATGAACCCAGTTTTGAAAGCCCCAAATTGGGTGTGGTTCAATTTATGGTTCTGGTTGCTTGGGAATTTAAGGAATTCAAGTCAACTTTGAGAATTAGAAACTTCAAGCAGTGTTGTATCTGGTGTTGTCACAAAAATTTCAGTAATGGGTACACAAGTGTCTTAAAAAATGTCTTAAAAATAGCCATTTTGAAACTATTGAGCCACCTTAAAAAGTTATCCTTTTCTCCAGCCCGTGAAAGTTGTAATTCTCTGAACATACATGAAGAAAGAGAAGGTTCCTTTATTCAAAGGAATGAGAATTCTTGCTTTTAATACTTATAGGGAATTAAAGTTAGTCTTGATTGGTGCAGTTACAGATTTAAAATGTTAAATTTCCGACAAAAGGTAAAAATGTGACAAAGCTGTTGTCATGCACTTGATTGAAAAGTGTGCCAATTTTGAATACCTGAACCACCATTCCTATTAATCCTGTTCAGTGATTAATAGAAAGCCGTGGTTCTAATTCTCTGAGTCCCTTACCTGTCACATCAATCCAAAAAAAAGCATACGCTTTTCCTGCCCAGTTTTTGGCTGTACATCCATACAAGCCTGCATGGTCGAAAGTCATTTGGGAAACAGTGTATGTATTATTGTCTCTATTTCCAAGATCCACACCATTCCTAGTCCAGTTGATCTGAAGTGGAGGATCACCTCTCACAATGCATGTCAAATTAAGCGTGGAGTTAAATGCAACAGACTGATTCCCCAGTTTAGGATTCAGTTCAGGTGGAGCTTGAAAAGCAAGAGAATTTAGGAATGAGTTTGCTGTTTTCATATGCACATGTAATTTCCAATCCTTTATGTTCCTTTTGAAGACCAAATAAATGTACTCAGATAAATTCAAAAGCGCATGACCACTAAATATATAGATTAAGAATTGAGGTGGATGTTTTGCACTCATTATAACTGATGAATAAAGTCAACATAACTCATGCATATGAATACAATTGTATATATGTACTTGTCATGGTTAACACTTTTGTTTGTATTGCATGAAAGTATTGTGCACGGCAATATGGAAGACTAGTTTTGAGCTACAGTCAAAGCTATACAAAGCAGCCACCCTTAGGAAAATTGAACTTGACTGCTTATGAACCTAAACAAAAAGCACTACACGATTGTTTCCCTTGGGAGTAGGATCTTATTAACTTACTTTTAACTCTTATATATATGCTGTCAGTGAAATTACCACCAGCATTTCGTGCTTCACAGATGTACCTTCCCTCGTCACTGTCTGTTACATTTGTTAAAAGCAGAGGTGATGTGATCTCCTTAGACGGAAGGTCTGGCTCATTTTTAAAAAAAGATAGCCGTGGTTCAGGTAAACCTTCAATGATGTTGCACGTCAGGTTGGCACTATCTCCTTCTTGCAAGGGCTTACGTGGTCCTAACAACTCAACGATTGGGCGAACTACAGAAAAGAACAAAATTATTAAAACAGATAAAGAAATGCCCCAAACCAGCAACAAGATTTGCAGCCTAGGAGGTCTTTTAATTCTAAAATGGCAGTTCTTCATTCTCTTCTATGCTGTTGAGTTCATGAAATCCCTTTCCTTTAATTTAATTACCTCCAGCTCAACAAAAGGTGTCTCTTTACGGGATGAACCTCACCATACCCAATCCCAGGCTTCTAATTGCATTGCATTAAAAATGCCCACTCCACAATAAATCTTTTATTTCTCACTTGGAAAACCAAGGATTCCTGTCAAACTATTACGAAAATACAGTTGTTTATAAATTTCAGTCCATGCATACATTGCACAGAAGTGGCTTCTAAATGCAGCTGTTCATCAATATTATTAATAAAGTTGTCTACCAAAATCATTTGTAGAATAATTAAAGTATTATTTTGTTACTCACTTGTGATAAAAACATTGATGGTTTGGTTTTTTATTGTAGCCCTTTTGCTTCCTTTACTTTGTTTGAAGGTACAGATATATGTTCCCTCGTCTTGTCGGTGAACAGGATTGACATATAAACTTCCATTCAGAAGTTGTCTGAACCTTGCCTTGTCCAGTTGTACTCCATCTTTTCTCTTCCACTCAATCTGTGGTGTTGGAGTTCCTTCAGCACTACAGCTTATAATTCCAGAAGCATCAGCAATAATACTTTGTTGATGGTTCACCTCAGTAAATCTTGCTGTTGGAAGAAGCACAATAACATTGGTTTGATAAATAACTGCAGTTCAAAAGCATTCGATTGCTACTGCATCTTGAAACAAGTTTAACAACTTAAATTTTATCCCAGCTGTTAACAATTGAATTTTAGATTTAAATTCACATGGATTTATGACATTTATTGGATGTTTTGCTTTAATTAATGAAAAAGAAAAACATTTAATTAATGTAAATTGAAATGAGAATAGCGGACATTACTGGTAAAATCGTCAGTACGCAATTTCAGGGACAAAATATTGACTTGAATTTGTTGAAACGTCACAAATCTACACGTATTGTTTACACTTTGGTGAAGATATTTCTCTAAGATAAACAGCAAATGTTCCCAAAGTTTGGTTTGACAGAAAAACAACTTCATTTAGAGTAAACAAAACTAAAGTTAAACGAAACAAGGTAAATGAAAATGAAACAAATGAAAATCCTTTGCAGTGACCAAAATACGCATCTTTGCTAAGGGAGAGTTAATACTTCGGTGAGCTCTAGATTCGCCAAACCAGCGCTTAGAAGAAAAATGCTTTGAAAGGTTAATTACCTTAAACTGATGAATGTCAATCATTTATTTCAACTTCTAAAGCTGAAGACGTTGCAATTCTTGTTAATTATTTCTTTTTTGATCCAGTCCGATTGGAAGAGTTTAACATCAGTTATCTTCACTTAATGACAATAAGTGTTTTCAACTGTACCTATTCATTAATTGTGTTGTCTTTAAACATCCTAATCATATATTAATGTGACAGGAGTACACACTCTGTTGAGGATTGCTATGCTTTATGGGGACAAAAATCATATGCATTTACAGCTTTTGGAATCGCTTAGGGGTAATTAAGTCAAGGAATCTGGTCACCTTACAGTAGGGTGTTGACGATATGAAATGCCACTATTTTTAGTTGTCAAAGTTTCTTTTGGGGTGAACGCTGACAAATAGCAAATGAAACGCCCTTATTTCCATTTTTAGGCTCAACGTCCGCTGGTCTCTTGAGTACGGTCTACTAGCACAGGCTCCTTTTAAGCTTGAGCCACACCCAGAGTGGTCTCCTTAATTTAGGAGTTCAATTAAATTTTCCGAAAAGCATCCCCAATCTTTTCATACGTCAGTCCCCCCACCTCAGATTAACGGACGTGAAGGTACACATTCAGACAGACGCAAGTGGATAGCAGGCCAAACGAACAAATTTACTCTGAACGCTAGTAAAAATAAGTTGCCCTACCATTGACATAGATGGTGTAGTAACGAGTGTATTCCAATCCCCTGCATTCGTAGGTTCCTCCATCAGACAACTGAACGTTTTCAATGGTCAGTTCACCATTTTGTTTTGCCGTCATCCTTGTCCCAGATGTTGAATTAATCTCTTGATGTTTGTTATTGAACCAACGTATATGGTTGGTTTCATTTTTTAAGAAGCAGCGAATAATTTCACGGCTGCCGACATCCAAAAATTCTCGACTTGCATCCAAGATTTTTTTGTCCTCTGAAAGGAAAAATTTATGTTCACCACATTGTAGTATGTATGAAATTCTAAATCCTAGAATGTTAAATACAATTGACACAAGATAAAGTTTGCTTAAGCAACATGCTACAAGGATTCAGCAAAGTCTATCTCTACCGTAATTAATAAATTAACCCTTTCTTCTTTACATGGGGTGACCTATTGCTAGTAATGTGATCACATAGTTTTACTGTGAAAGTCATTTCTATCCTTTGGTACACAAATTCTGGTTGGTATCACTTCACTGAATTAACCTGTCCAAAAGAGTTTTTTTTTTTTTTTTTTTTTTTGCAATCAACATTGCTGGTGTAGTACATTATTTAGCCCTTATTAACAGAGCAGGAGGTCTGTATGGGAGAATCTTGACCGGGGTCGCGAGTACAGACTGAACGCAATGAGGTCTGTACACACCACTGAGGCCAAGATTCTCCCATACAAACCGACTAAGCTCGATTAATAAGATGTTTATTGTATGGAAAAACAAGAAAAAATTAATGCGTTTAATGTAACTGGTTTGTACTAGCTGACATTTATTTGCTTGCAAACGGCAATTAGCTCAACCTAATTCTGCCAGAGTTTGTTCATCCTCTTTACTTTTTTTTCTCATCAGGTTTTTAAGCACTTCTAGTAATATTTTTTGAAGAAAAGAGTCAATATTTTTGTATTTTAGTTTGCAATTTTTTCACCGCAAAATGTAACCAGTCTAGATGGGAAAATCTAGTCCGTGGACAATATTGATTTCAACCAATCAAATTCGTGAATTCTCTAGTTCCCAGTTCTTGTGAGACACAGTCATATAATAATAGTAACTTTTTGGTAGTAGCATATCATTATTAGCCCGACTGTCTCTGTGGACCAATGACGGCAAACACAAACTTGTAAGGTTAGTCTTTGTTAGCTATAACATCTTTCAGGTACACACCCTTCCCAGCCCCCTTTCGCCGCATAAAAGGGTGTTGTGAGATTTTATATTCGTTTCATGTAAATAAAAGACTAACGTATAATAAGCACTTAATGACTAGCCCCAAGGGAAACAGTGAATTTTGTTTCCCCGAGACCCTCAATGTTCCCAGAGGCGAAGCCGAGGGAAACATTGAGGTCGAGCGGGAACAAAACTCACTGTTTCCCGAGGGGCCAGTCATTAAGTGTATTGTTATACCTCCCGACTCAAAAATAGAAGAAAAAAACTGCTGTGCTTGCAGTACGAGCGGCAATCAAACCGAGCTGACCACCGAAACGACACGATAACATTCTTTTTCTTCGCAGCTAACAAAAATAAAGACAATACTTAAGTTGCTTTCCCTTCTTCTGAAGCTTAACTCGAGAATTCTGGGTTTGATTCGGCGAGGAACAGCATATTTTGTTGTAAATGATACAACTATTTTCCTACCTGGCGAGTGGCGACAGCGATCGAAGAGCGAGTTGCTGAACGCGGGCGACCCACTTTTAGCGCCAAGTTAAAGACTCAAAATGTTCAAATTTTCTCCTTTGTTAATCTGATGTGTTTTTGCCGAATGGTAAATCCCTTTTCTTGAATAATGAATGCCTTCTCTAGCGAGAAATGATGACGACTTCAATGGCTTTTTGACATCAGGCCAACTGGCACACAAATTTACGGCCGTTGCAAGGTGCACGACCTGATCACGTGCGAGTCGAAAGAAGAAGTTGTTGTTTCCCTAGGGAGTTAGTGACTTTTGTTCGCCCTAGGGAGTTAGTGAGTTTTGACCCATGGCACGTGACACGTTCTCCTCCAGTCGGAAAACGTGTTTGAGTTGGGAGGTGTACCAATTCATTTTATGTCGTGGTTGTATGCTGATCAATCAAGACCTACAAAATATCAAATAATATAAAACCCTAAGTGATCACTAACTTTTTGGTTCACACAATGCCTGAGCACCTTTGTCATCACTTTGACAGTCAACATTAAGCTTTCCATCAGTTCGCGGGCAGGATGCCAGCTCGGGCTCATCTCCATTACAGGCTACATTAGACATTACAAAAGGAATGTCCTCATCCTTGACATCTGCCATTACAAATTCAGCCACTGCGCGTATGAAGCCAAGCTGACGACAAATAACTTTCACATCCTCAAAATTCCATTTATTACGACAGATCTTTCCCCACTTTCCATTGTAAAATACTTCCACTCTTCCACCATATTCTATATTTGCACCATTTAAACGAACAGGAACTTCTACAATTAAGACGAAATTAAACCTAAGTTAACAAATAAACAGATAATGAGCTTACAATTACAATTACAATTACAAACCAACATGCTTATTAATATGTTATTATCACATTAGTTTAACAGATTTTTACAAACTTTGACTTTTACTGTACATGTACTATCTACTGCTGCATCACTGTCACTTCCCTACATTTTTTTACATTTTTTTACATTTTTAGATCATTTTTAGATCATTTTTAGAGTGCTTTAGCCACATAAGTTTTAAATTTTGTTCACACCAAAAGTTAAGGTTCTTACACGGTGTTCAATCAGCTAAATTGCATAACGTCTCAACCAGATTGAGCCTTTAATTTTAAGCTCTACCTACTCTAAAGCTCAAAAGCAGATAACTGCTGCATTTTTTTGGCAACATATCATATCCCTTAATTGTAACATCAAACCAACCGCGTTGCTCACTCAAATGAGCATCCTAATCTCAGAGGAGTTCTATATAAGATATTTTAAATCGGCTGATTTGCCTCAGTCGTTTTTGTTCAATATTTGTAACCTAATTTGGACAGTGTCAAACTGTAACCTAACGTTAGCAATGAAACAGCGAATACAAATCTTGGCTACTTTTAACCCACAATTAGCCGTAATTGACTCATGAAGAATATAATCAAGGCCAGGAAGGAAAAACAAATCAAATGGGCCGTGGAGTTACAGCCATTTAATTTCTAGGTTTTGGCTTATGCCAAGAAAACTCAGTGCTACCACTGCCTAAAAATAGAAACGCAGAAAATGGATGGGAATCTACATGAAATTAACATTAACACAGTGGTATGCATGAGGCTGGG